TTCCTTTTTGAACGTTTGGATGCTACGTTCAACTAAACCACATCCCCGGTGGTCCCCTATTGGACCCATGGACAAAGTATATGCTGAATGCCTTTTTCCTTTCAAAAATTCATTTTCAAAACTTCATTTCAGAACCGTTCGGATCAACTTTACTGTGCTGTATTGCTGGATATATTCAGAGAGAATTTTTTTTTGTCAGCACTGTAGATCTTCTGATAAGTGTTGAATGTTACTTGTAATATCTGTCAATTGCTATTACAATGTACAATTTCTTTCCTTGTTTAATAGAGGGCCTGAAAAACCTAATTGCAATTCAGTTTCCGGTCTGAATAAATCTGGAAGAGGTTTTGACGAATTATGTTGTTTTGCACATTTAAAGTTCTTACCATGTAGCGAACACAAATGGCAATTTTGGCAGAAGTCAATTATCTCCCTGTGCATTGTTGGCCATCAGATAAAAGTTGCCGCTTCTTTACAGACTCTTTTCGTGGGTGAGTTCCGAGCAATCTGTTCATAACGGCTTTTATGCGACACATTGGTATGGGCACTCTGTTGCCAATGATCATGCAATCGCCAATGACCGTAGCAATGTTCCAGAAAATTGCTAAATAACTCCCCAGACGTAGGAATCCTTCACAATCTTTTTCAGGCATGCACTTCCTGAGCAATGCAAGCTGACTGTCCTCTGACGTTAGTTCACCGAGCAATTCTGCATCTAACAAATCCGATAGTCCCGTAGTAAATTTTTGTCTGTCATGTGTTTTAACTGGTTGGTTATTTTGTTCACTTTTGCGATTATATGATTCAAACTCGTTGTTTTCTGCAGTCCTTTCAATCTTAGTTGGGCCAAGGTCTTAGCGTAATTTCTTTTTACTATGTTCTTGCTTCTATGCGACTTAACTTCTAACTTCCTTTATCTAATTTTCTTCAGAATTCCTCCAGCAATCTCTCTGAATATCTTCCTCTCACATTGATACTTCCGGCTAAATTAGCCAGCCTCTTCAAAATTGAGGGTGAATCAAACTTTTCTGATGACTTTTTCTTAAATTGTGAATTTTGAATTTTAGATTTGGGTAAAATTAGAGAAATTAATCTTGGTAAAATCAACTGAGCAAAATTTGGTGCACTCTGATTGGTGAAAACCTTTACTGCCGCACTCTTGCGGTTGAAGAATATTACTTCCTCTTTGTGCATAAAAATTTTTCTCGCTTCTGTTTGTTTTTTGCGGACTCGAATGCTCGACGCTCTCTTGCAGTGAACCCTGATTTTGCTTTTTCGATCAAGCAATTTTGATTGGCCAGCTTGCTCGTACAAATTTCCGTCGCCCTCTCGCGGTACTCTGAAACTTGGTCGACCGTAATCTGATTGGATGAGCCAATTTTCTTCAAATTTGCCGCTCTCATGTGGTAGTTAGGTATCTTCTCCCGAAAAAACGATGTTGATATCATCACAATTGGCGTCTCTTACTGGTCTTTTCTGAAAAAAATTTTGACATGCGGAATCAAATTACTTGACTGATTTAATACCGAAATGTTTGTCGAATTTATTTTTTGAAGGTGTGGGTAAGTCTGGATCTTCCGACAATTAATCTGCTATACCGATTTCCTCTGCGTCAAAAAGTGGAAGTAGGTAAGCAAATGGTAACATCCTATCTTCCCAACGCGTCAACCATGTCCTTTTCCATCTGTTATCCGTAAGAGCCGATATTATAACTTAGCGGTCCGTGTGAATGTGGATTTGGTTTCCTAAAAGATATTTACAAAAAACTTGACATGAATATACCACTGCTAATAACTCAAATTCGTTTGTACTGTGTTTTTTTTTCGGTTGAACTCAAAAATCTGGATGTGAATCTTGGAGTCCAACGTGCTGGTTCCACTTCTTGCTCCAGTGCTGCGCCCAAACTTTTGTGGCTGTCATCGCATTTGATGCGGGAATTCTTTTTTGCCCAGCAATGGTATGTCTTGTGAAATTTCATATCATTTAAGGTTATGTTTTGAATGCCGCCCAAAACGAATTGTGACGTATGGCTGAATTTTAGTGACGGTCTAAATGCTTCTGTGATCATTTGAAGATTGGGAACAAATCGCGATAACCGATTCAAAACTCCCATAAATGACCTCAGTTGGTTAAGTGTCTTTGGAGGTTGTAGGTTCAGCACTGCTTTAAGTTTTTGAATTTTTTGGTCTAATTCCTTCTGAGTCTATCTCAAAGCCTAATCAGGTTAGAGATTGCTTAGAAAACTCACCTTTGCTCGTCAGCTTTTTCAATACCTCATTTACTAGATCGTTGTGACTATTTACTTTTCTTTTTGATACTATCAATATGCCGCTTAAAAACAGAATACTCTTGTTATTCCGCCAAATGTGCTATCCATTGCCCTCTGAACTTCTTGGGCATGACGGTCAACCCGTAAAATCCGGTTTCAATTCTATAGGTTCCCGTAAGCTCTCCACATATTATACTGAAGTTTCAGTGTTTGCTTGTTGATTCATCTAATGTTAGTTATGTAAATGAAAACTTCAAATCAAATTTTGTGAACCAGACTACCTCGATGTATCTGAAGTTGTGATCCGAGCCGCTGAATCTAGTAGTTCCAGAAGTTTTGGCATTTGAAAATTGCTATTAAAAATTTGGTCGTTCATAAGTTTTGCGTTCATCGCTAATTTCACTGAGCCATCTTTCTTGACGGTTATCACAACTGGAGCTTTAAATTGATCAATTGTAAATTTGTCCAATTTGGTAGTATGGCCTTCTCTTATGGTTTTCCTAAATTCTGATACTACTTTGTCCTGAATGTGGATCGGCACTTGTTGGCCCTTTTCTTGAATAGGTATCAGTGCTGTCTTAAATAAGATGTTGACTTGGTGATTTTTGATCTTCCCAGTCTAATAAAATCCTAGTTATATCATTTTTTTTGTATTTGTTTCTCCAATACTTTGAGGTTTCTAGCTCTTTTTTGTTCCTCTACTCCAAGGACTGTAGATACTGTTTTGGGAGGTGGTTTAGTTGCTTAGTTACTATGCCCAGGTCGGGTTGCAGATCTTTTCCTAGAAGACACCTGTCCTATATTCTGATACTAAAAACTCTGCATTTTCTTTGTAACATCGGTTTGATTTCTTGTTTCCAAGTAATGTGCCAAACAGTTTGATTGGTTTGTGATTATAATCCATGTATAATTTCCTGATTGGTTTTTCATGCGTTGTGCGTAATCTTGCATCTGGATACTTCTGTTTGAGTATGTCTGCAGTTTTCTTGTTTATAAAAGAAGCTGGGCTGCCTGTCTCAATTGTTGCGCTAACTAATGAAGTTTCAGACCTAATAGTGACCCTGACGGATCTTGTCCTCCATGTTGCGGTATTTATTACTTCCAGGCTTTTGACCTCCTGAATCTTTAGAAACGGATATTTGGGATCACTCTCCGAGTCAAGAAAATTAGTCGAATCTTCGTACTTTTCGTACACACTTCCGACGCGACATTACTAACTTGTGGTTTCGTGGAATTACAACATTTTGCGAAGTGACCTCGCTTATCACATAGGTTGCTGTTTTCCTTCCTGGCTGCATATTGTCCTTGTGGCTCGAAGTGAATTTTCGCAGAATTAGCAGATTTTGATGAACTAGAGTGGTTAGATTTCCGAGCCTGGTTGGAAGTATCCTGTGTGAAATGTTGTGATTTTCCTTGTTTGCTCTACTTTTTCAACTGTTTTTCGTTTGAATTGAGTTCTACGGCTCTTGCTTAATTTTGAGCGTATTCCTACTTTGAAAGGATTTCTGCCTTCGGAAAACACGCGCTCTGGTGTAGCCCATCTCCTGTAGCAACGCTGATTTCAGAGTATAGTCAACAGTAGCTCCTAATTTGATACACAACTCCCTTTCTATATCGGTACATTTCATTTTCGCAATGAAGATGTCACGAGTGACCTCTTTTTCGACGTTTTGTGTCCATCCACTTTTAGCTGCCTGGCTCAATAAGCGGAGATAAAATGCTTTCAACTCTTTTTTTGTCTCCTTGATGAGCGTTGTAGATCTTCATCTTTTCTACAATAAAGTTCTTTTCCCTCATAAATGAGGTTTTGATTGATTGAAATTCCGCGAGTTGATGGTGTTGAGATTGATATGCGGATTTGTTGAGAGAAGCGCTTCTTCCCTTCATTGCTTTATGGGGAAAAAATCTCGATTTGACTCTGTTTTCGGCTTCGTAATGGTATTTATATGGGGATCATTGAAAACTGGGCATGGATCCAGTAATAGTGCGTTTGGGTCGCATCCGTCTTTCAGCGTTTATGCGAGACAAAAATGTGCTATCCACTTTTCCCACGGATACGTAGGTTCAGACGAAAAAGGTTTCCCCCAAAATACCGGCACTCCGAGCAGATCGGGACAGATCGGGACCTCCGATATCAATACGACTGTAGTCTCTCAAAATCGTAAGAGAGGGTGTTATTAGCACAAGTGAGTTATTCACATAAAAAGGCAAGTACTTTAATTACAGTAATAGCTTAGACTGGTCAGATCGAAATATGACCTTCAATACGGATACTACGCCGTACGGCCTTATAAGAAAAGTGGCTTGTATCATGCGAGAATGAGTTGTAGGAAAATTACTTTAAGTTAAATCACGGGTCGAGGTCCCAGACACATATCCAGACTTCATGTCCACACTTCATGTCCAGACTTTTGCGACCAAAACTATGGGCCTCCTTTCCAGACCATCGCGATATCAATGATGGCTCTTTTTCCTTTTCCCCCCACCTACAAATTTTTATATTTGAAGTTGATGTTCACTTTGTCCGATTGTCATGAAAATTGGCACGTAGACTAATTAGGCCATGACAAACATATTTGGTCTCCATAATTAACCTTGTAAGACCGCTAGTTAGACCATAAAATTCATGTTTGAGTGAGGTGGGGGGGGGGGGGGGGGAGGAAAAAGAGCCTCAATGATAAAGTACACTCGCGAATAGAATTATTTAAAACAAATTTTAAAATGTGATTAGGCGGAGCAGTTCATGAGTCTGGTGGGTCTGCCGGCCATAGCCATAGTGTCCGTGTCCACTCTGGTGCTGGGAGTGGTGTTCCACAAGAGACGCGCTCTTCACAGTGCTGCCCATGAAAGAGCAGTTAGTACATTTAAAATATATAACATTAAACTCTGTGGCAAAATTCATGGTTCCCGTCATTGAAAATGGGAAGGAGCTTTATATTTGGGTGTGTTTTGGTTTTTCTTTTTTTTGTTTCCGGCGCAAAATCAGGTGCCACAAATAATCATCAGAAAGGGTCCAGTGGTACATAATAAATTTCTTTTGTCATAAATTGAGCGTCATTTAAAATTTTTGAAAAAACGTCGAGAAAAACCTATTTTAATTTTTGAGTCTTAGTCTAATTTTGAGCGAGTAAAGTCATTGAATAAGTAAAGTGAAAATTATTTGTTTAGGCAAAGATACTAACTAAGTTCTTATAGCCAAAAACTAGTTTTGAAAACTTCATTTAGTGCGCCCTTGCCACTAAAAATGTTCTGAAAAAAATCTTGTTTAGTGTTTTTAAAAATTGTTTTTGAATTATTTAGTTTTTTATTTGTTATTAGTTTCATGAGAACAACTGCTGCCGGTCATGACTAATTTACTAAATGGATGCGGTTTTATTGTTCTGTCATCACACTGCATGCAAGAAACGACTTTATATTGATCAAAAAACTCTTTTTTGCAGTTTTTTTAATATAGCCGGAACATTCTGTGCTGCTTGAACAGCAACCGGCTATCCTTTGATTAATAATAAAAAAATTAAGTATAAATTTTTGATTAAAAGTAGCTAATTGGGCTGTTATAATGATAAAATGAATGTCTGCAAGTTAAAACATGGTTCATTGAAAAAAAAATTAAAAACTTTTCCATAAATTAACAAGGATCGCCGGTTACTGTGCAAGTAGCACAGAATGTTGCGATCACAGTCTTAGAAAAAAAAAACATTTTTTTTTCATATTAGTGTCGTTTTTTCCTCATGGTGTGATAAAAAGATCTGAACTAAAAAAAGAACTTGGAAATAATTGACAGTCATAGTAAAAAAGCTATTCGAAAAACATTTTTTGAAGAAAATTGACTAGAAAAACGAAAAAAAATGGTTAAAAATTGGAAAATTGACTAGAAAAACGAAAAAAAAATGGTTAAAAAATGGGAAAATTTTGGAATTTTAAACATTCGCTTACAAACTGGCGCCAAGAAATTCCAAAAACTATTTTCATTTGAGTACAACTAATTTTTCACGGCTCAAACTATGCTTAAAAAAGCTACTGTATGCCTACACGCTCACACCATATTAGTTCAAAATTAGACTAAAAATCGAAAATTTCAAACCGTTTTTTTCGACACCGTGAAATTTTTTTTGAAGTTTCTTAATGTCGTTCGAATCACGATTGAAAGGGCTTAAATATGATATTTTATTCGACTCATTCCGACAAATATTAGAGGTACCTGATTTTGCGTGGAAAACAAAAAGAAAAAAACTAAAATCCGAACTAAAACCCGAATAAAAAGTTCCTTCCCATTTTTCAAATGGTCGGAACAAGTAATCAGCTTAAAATTCTTTGAAACAACGGTTTATTTTTTTTCAAAGAACTAAGGAGTAAGTTTTTAATAGTTCTACGTTTTTTCATTTTAGGAACCCAATTAGTTGCTGTTAATCAAAAATATTCACTTAACATTGTAATGAAATTTCGAAAAAAAAATTAAAAACATGTTACAATAGATTTTGTTGCACAGTTCAAAAATTTCTATTTTAAAACATAAATCTGAAACAAAAATTTTTGTTTTTGAAATGTTTACAAGGAATTTTTAATTTGACATGGTTTAGTTTGTTATGTGAAAACATGCGTTTAAATTACAATAACTAATCGACGTGAACAAATTTTTTAAAAAGCAAAAGTCAACGGCAGGTAGAAATTGAGAAGAGCCAAAAAAAGTGGTGTGCAAAAGTCTCGTTTCGGGGGTGGGGGTTTGGTTGGTTTTTCTAGCTAGATAAAAAGTGAATAGAAAAAAAAAACAACGTCAAATGATGCAGGGGCGAATCTAGGATTTTCTCGAGGAGAGGGTGAGGGGGCGGATTTTAATAAAAATTTTGATATTTTATCGACCTTTTTTTGGTGGAATAAATTGATTTTCCAAGCTCTCACAAATCACAATAAAACACTACCTCTTTAATTAGATATTTTTGCGCCGCAGGCAAAATTTTGAAAAAACAGGCCAAAAACAAGGCGTTTTGGTCTCTTTTTGGAAAATTTTGATCAAAAATTGCGTTTTTCGGCGCGCGCTTCCCTCTCAAATCTAGAATATATTGGCTTCAAAGGCGCTTTTGAAAAAAGTTTAGTGTCCACCAGCCAAAAATTGAGATCCTAAAATAGTACAAAATAGTACAAAATAGTACCCTTTGGGTCGGCGAATTCCAGAGAGGTCGAATTCCAATATCAATCAGTTTCGATCAGAATTTGTCTTATGCAGAATTTATATGCTGCAAACAGATCAACTTTTGGGTCGTATAACAGAAAAGATTTGATGTTCTTTGTTTTTTGAGGCGACTCTGGCGCTGACTGGGAACTCGTGCATGTATGCTCTTTTCGGCACAGTGTCCTACTGTTTCGTGTTCTACGCGTTCATGATCCTGACCAGCAACAACGCAGATGATCTCATCTTCTACTTGGGAATCGGACAGGCTAGTAACTAACTACTTTGCAAATGATCAAGTGCCCAGATTTAGGGTTTTAAAAAAGGGCAAATCGAAATTTCGACCAAATTTTTTTAGGTCAAAATTTTTTAGGTCGAAATTTTTTAGGTCGAAATTTTTGAGGTCAAAATTTTTTAGGTCGAAATTTTTAGGTCGAAATTTTTTAGGTCAAAATTTTCTAGGTCGAAATTTTTTTAGGTCGTCCAAACTGATTTTACTGAGCTCTTCAAAAACACCGTAAAGACTATATTATGCAGATTTCTTCTGGCAAAAGCGACGGATAAAAGAAAACGAATTTAACACCCTCATGACTCGATGAATTCCAGCTTGGTTATATTTTAAGACATGCATTTTTGGCGAAACTTTTTAAAAAGTAGTGCAAAAAACGGAGGAAAAAAGAAGAGCTAACATAAATTTTGGCTTTAACTCATCAAAACAGTGCCCAATATTCCTAGGGTAAAGTAGGGTCCTCTTGGCGCTTTAGAAGAGCCTAATAACGAAACTCGGCTGTATAAGCGGCTATACCCAATTTTTTTCCACAAAACAATAGTTCTTGGAAAAGTCAACAATTCGACCCCCTCACAAATCAAATGACTTTCTATTGGTATTATTTTATATCCTCCATTTTCGGCCAACCAACCAGAAAGTTTTTCTAAAGGCGCCTTCGGCACCAATATAGACTAATTGTCAATGGAAGCACGCGCCGAAAAACTGCGAATTTTTGGTCAATTTTTTTTCAAAAGTGCCCAAGAACAGCATAATTGACCCTTTTTAAAAAAATATTGTCTGCGCTGCCAAAAAAATTGTCAAAAAAAGCTATATAGAGCGCTCAGAATATCAATTGACCAAAAGAAAGGGGTTGACAAAATTTACGAAATTTTTTTTGAAATCCGCAAAAAAAACTTAAAAAAAACGGTTTTGATTCAAACCTTTGATTTTTTCGAGGGTCAATTTGTGTAAATAATTCGGGATAAGCCGCTGATGCAGAGGAGCTTCACACAACCCGTTTTCTCCCTTGAACCCAAAATCGTAGATTTGGGAGGGTAGTTTCTAATAAAACTCGAAAAGTTTCAAGAAACGGTCAAAAAATCTTAAAAATGAATTTTCCGTGGAAGATAATTTTTCACGTAAGGAGGGGCGTTTCCTGCAAACCATTTTTTGATTCAGATTTTGGAGGGTAGTTATCGAGAAAATTTTTTCAAAAATTCGGAAAATGGTCAAAAAATTGAATGTTTGACTTCCGAGGGTCATAATTATTTCTGTTTTCAAGTTTGGGTGTAGCAGTTCATGCAGAGTGGCTTCCTCTCATGTCAATTTTATTCATTAAACCAAAAATCTTAGGCTTCGAGAAAATGAAAAAGCTCAAAAATAGCGGTCAGAAATTCCCCCACATACTTTTTTGAAGGATGTCAGAATTGGAGTAGTGTAAAATGAGACTAGGAGATAATACAGGCACACAGAAGAGTGAGCGGTTTTTTCATGGCCAGATTGGTACCATGGGCAGAGTAGTTTCTGAGAAAAAAATAAAATTCATGAAGAAAGCGAAACCTTTTTTCCAAAGCGTCTCAAAAAAATTCATTTAAAAACCCGATCACATTCATTTTTGATATTTCCTGTTGATATCAACAAGGACTTTTTTTCTCAGAAAGTTGTTTCGTCTCTTCTCATTTTCATTGTGTACTAACTAATATAAAACCTAATGATCATTTGCAGACGAAAATCGAGCAATTATTGCAAAAAAAACACAAATTTATCCATACTTGATAAATTAGGAAATTAAAATGTCTCAAACTGACTATTCACTATTTTTGTTGCATGGTTTATGTTTACGACCAAAATTTTTTTTTGTTCACGCTTCTTTTCTGCAGATGGTGAACTCTTCCGGACTCATTCTGCGCAGTCCCATCCTGCTGCTGATGAGACCCATGCGACTGGCTCTCAAGCGGGGGCTGAGAGACTGCTGCAAATGCCGAACGCAAGTCGGATAACACCGAAGAGAGGACGAGACACGACAGGCTTACACCATGGCTCTCTTTTCCACCCCTTTCCTTTTTTTAAATAGAATGATTCATGATATTATGACATAATATGCAATAAACTTTTTAACTGAATGGTTTCATTGTTCACAATGCAACTGAAAACAAAAACGCCGAAACAGTGAAATTAAAACTATATTTCATTATTGGCTCAATAAAAAAGCTAAACAATCAAGGGGTTGTAAGTGGAAAAAAGATCACAACGAATGATGAAAATGAAAAGCGCTTCTTAAATGGCAGTAGCTACAAGATGAATAGGAAAGAAGGCTTAAATTTCCCTGAAATTGTTCTAAATTTACCCCTTTAACCTAACCTTGAATTCAAATTTTCCCCGAGAAACATTTTTCCAAACGTTTTGATCCATAGTGGGTCAATCAATTGAGCGTAGGAGTAAATTAAAAAACTTAAAATCAAATCGGAACTCTTCTAAGTATATTCTGAAAAAAATGACTAGTTTTAGTGGTCATTGGCATTCTAATCAGGGGTGGATCTAGGTTTTTTTTGAGGAGGGAGGCGGATTTTCAAAAAACTTCGAAAATTTTGTCGACTTTTTTTTAGGTCGAACAAATTGATTATCTGAGCTCTCCCAAATCAGTATAAATAACCCATTCTGACCAAAGTTTCTGCGCCGCAGGCAATTTTTTGATAAAAAGAGGCGTTTTAGGATACCTCACCAAAAATAAGATATATCAAAATAGTACAAAGGGGAGACCATTTGGGTCGGCAGGGGGTCAAATCCTTGAGGGGGGAGACGCCGCCCCGGCCCCCTCTTAATTCCGTGACTGATTCTAATTGACCTATCTTTTAAAGAGTTTTCAAAAACAACTTTTTTATTCCATCTGAAAATAGCAAGAGTGCTCGAATCAGGTCAAAGCCTTGAATGTTCCGACTGCCTTTTAAGGTCTATAGTGAATCAATAACTTGAAAAAAAAGTTAAACGTAAAAAAATTTCAATTTTGAATTGAGATTTTCTTTTGTGAAAAAATTGCCCCACGCGGCATATAAGGTAAAAAATTTTGCTCCTATTAACAAATCAGTTGTGGCAAATCAGTTTTCTTCAACCAATTTGGAACAATATATGAGACGAATTAAATCTCCGCTCACGCGTTAATAGCGTGAAATATATTGCGCGTTAATTGTCCCAAATTGGCCAAAATGGCAATCTTTAAACCCCATAACTTTACGAAAATTGACCACAAGTGAATTAACTTTTCAAATTTAAGCTTAGGTCAACAATATTTTTTGAATAATTATAAAAGTCTCGTCAAAAATGGCTAGTTAAAAATTCGAAATTCGTCAGGAGAAAAAAAAACCACCCGAGCACAAATATTCCGTTACTTTCGCTACAAAAGTCGTAACAACAAGACTGTTATTAAGTGAAATAAGTTTTTTTGTTCCAATTTTTGTCAAGAAAGTACCGGAATAATTCTGCTCGGGTGGTTTTTCTTCAGACATATTTCGACTTTTTAACCAGCCACTTTTGACGAAATTTTATACCACCATTCAAAAGGTTTTGTTGTCCTGAGCTTAAATGTGAAAAAAGGCTTCATCGGTGATCATTTTTCACAAAGTTATGAGGGTTTAGAGATGGCCATTTTTTGGCTAAATTGGGACTTTTAACGGTGTAACGCGTAACCGTATATTTAATCCATCTTGGGAATCGTTCCAAATTACTTGAAGCAAGCTTGTTTGCCATAATTGTTTTGTTACTAGGAGTGAACTGTATCGCTTTGTACTTTAAATGGCGTGTGGGGTATGATTTTCACAAAAAGTCTCAAATTAAAAAAAATTACATTTAATCTCTTCATGTTATCACTGCTCCATAGACGTTAAAAAGCAGTCGGAACATTCTGGGCTGCGCCCTGGTACGAGCAATTTGGTTTATTTGAAAAATAGATACAGTCCTGATCCTGGAGTTTCATTTATGTATCGGACTCAATTAACTTTTAACTGGCAACTTTCAAATCCTATAACTTCAATAAAAAGAAGTCGATACCTGCCAAAATCGTTTATGTAAACCAAAATTTTGAATAGCCAAAATTGGTCTGAATAAAAAACTATCCCGAACAAAAAAAAATTGTAACTTTATTCTAAATGAATGAACGAATGAAAGTTTCCCCCTGAATAAACAATATGAGGAGGATATTGTTCACTTGTCTGAAAGCATTCTTTTTTGGAATTCATCAAATCGGCTTTACTGTATAACTTTTGGTCAAACTTCAGAGGTTGATAACTCTCATGGTTGTTATGGGGAAAATGTTTATTTGTGCCGCTGCGCAAATAGACAGAACTTTTTGATCAAAGCAAAATTTATTGTACAGAAAATGAGGCTTTTTTGCGGGTTTGACAAAAAAGCTCCAAATTTTAAATAACAGTAAACTTATTAAGTATCGGAACACGTATTTAGAGTGTCATAAAGGAGTTACTTGAAAAAATTTACAAACTTAATATTTCATAGCTTGTCTATACTGATTTTGCTAAAAGTTTTGACAAAATACTACACTACCATTTCATACAAAAATTGAACGATCTTGGTGCAGGGGATGTCTACTAAATTTTATTTACGGCTACTTCGCCAAAAAAACATCAGTGAGGTTGGCAAACTCTAATTCTGAGTGACTTGGACCTTCCAGTGGTGTCTCAGCAAGGATCAATCCTCGTAGCAACTTTATTTTACCAGATCCTCTGGTCGATGTGCTCAGTTTATGTTCATCTTTCAAAGTCTAGCACATGTCAGTGCTTAACCAAAAACGAATTTTCGAGACAGGGGTATGGATTGAGCACAATTTCGAAACATACTTCAAGGACGGTCAAAAGTACCAATTTTCCGCTTATAATTTGTCAGATAATTTAGTCACTAAAAATCCATAATAATTTATTAATCTCCTTGGAAAAATTGCTTTTCCATCGAGCATGGTCGAAACCCACATTCAGTCGAGACGAGACGATCGAAATATGCCGAATTTTGGCCGAAACGGTCGAAACATACAGTGAGCACCTCGACCCGAGTTTTTATCGATCTACCCGTACTTCATGTTGCTCTCATGAATATTTTTTCAGGGTTCTCAGTCATAAATATATGTCAAAAAAAGTTTGGAGTTCTTCAATTGAAGAGGTCAAAATGAAGAGGTCAAAATGAAGAGGTCAAATATATGTCTAAAAAGGGGGTTCTTCAATTGAAGTGGTCAGAAACAGCCGTCTCACTTACATCCGCAACTGAATCAGTCGTTAAAGTTTGCCAGGTAAACTCTTTTTGATGGCTTGCTCGTGTGGCAGTATATAAACCAGTCAAAGTATAAGCCAGCCGAAGTATCAACCAGCCGAAAATGCGTAATTAATATATAATAGTTCTGTAACAATTATGAAACAGTTACAAAAATCATGCAAATTTGCTCATATGATGTAACTTTTCGGCTGGTTTACATACTCCGCGCATTTTTGGCTGGCTTTTACTTCGGCTGGTTTTTTTACTCTCGGTTTCTTTACTCTCTGCTGGTGTAGCCTCATTACTGAGAGTTCTGTTCCGGTTTTCTTCTTTGAAGTTGTTTTTTTTTTATCAAATTTTTTGAGCAGATCTTTTTCTGCCTAATGCAACTTATGTGGGCGCAACATCATCGCTACGGATAAATGGTAAGTATTTGAAGTTCAAAATGTCTTAGTTGTTATTTTGGTTAGACTTGTGAGTGCAGAGTAAACTTTCTCTTTCTTTAGTATTATGCACAAACAAACATCGTTTGACCAAATTCTTTACCCACAAATTTCTGAAAGTTCGTTGACGGGATTAGTTTATGTTCTCTCTTAAATCTTCGTGTCTCTTAAACATTGAATAGCTCAGTCTCACTTTTACTAAATATTTTGTTCAGATCTACGGTAAAACTTTCAAATTATACATTTTGAACTGAATTTCAACTAGTTTCAAAAAGCAACTTGGGAAAAACTATTTGTGACTGAAAAAAACCTTTAGTTACCAAAACTATTGTCGCCGTGAAGTTTTTTTATCGAACATTGGATTCATAAAAAATTTTTCGCAAAAGATTTACATACAATTTTCTGACAATTTTCAAAAATTATTATTTTTGATTCCCGAATCTGTCTCAAAACTATTTATAATTAACTTATAACTTGAGATATAACAGTAATGTTGTACTACACTGCGATCTCGTACGAGAGTATTATTCTGGCCGATTGTACGGTGGGCAATGAGGAGACTCTGATGGCAGTGGCCTCACAACACCTGCTCGGGATACTAGCCAGACAGAGCACAGTTGGAACTGCCAAGGACTCAAGAGTATGTGGAGAGTGAGTTAAATACATTCACAGATTGGGGGGGGGGGTTGGGTTTGGGTTGGGGGATGGGGTATGATTAACCAATTAATATTGTCTTGAATGTTTTTAAATAACAATTTTTCAAAAAAATTTTGTCTCGATTTTTTTGTTCAGCCAAAAATTTCCTGAACATATAATTTTTAAAGAAGTTTTATGAGGCTCACATGATTTTTTAAAAATTTTGTATAAAACAGTTTTCGGAAGGTTTATTTGACCAAAGAGTAATTTTTGCGCAATTTAGCCCTCAAAGTTAAAATATAGTGGCAAAAAACTTCCTCTTCAGAAAACTTTAGGTCAAAGTAGTAAAATAATAGACTAATTTAGGGAGACGACGAGACAGCTTTTTTAGCAATATGCTTTTGCTGAATTCTTGTAGCATAATGCGCCATTTATTTAAAAAATGCTAGTTTTTTTTGACATCTTTTTTGAATTTCTTGGTGAGTTTCTGAGATAATTATATTTTATTATATTAAAAAAGTATGATTCTACAGGTAAAGTATGGTTGTACTTTCGAGCTCAAGACCTCAATATTTCCAAATGATACAATAAGTTGTCAAAGTTGCTGGTTAAAAAGCCAAAATTTGTCAAGAGAAAAAAAACCCCGAGCAAAAATACGAAGTTGGCACAATTATCAGACGCACAGAAAATGGTCCATGTAAATTGCTAATTTGGTGTTTTTTAAACTTTCTGATATTTCAAAAAGATATCGCAGATGAAACAAGAAGCAAGTTTTCTTCGAATCATGTACTTTTAGAGAACAAAAGAAACTATATCGTAAAAAGTATTTTTTTTGCCCAGTTTTGTTTAGTTCATCAAAAGCTCAAAAGTTTTCCGGTGAAGTATGCTATCACGCCTTTTCAGCTTTGGTTTGTTTTTAAAAAATCATGAAATTTCATTTTGAGAAACATTGGTGCGAACTATTAAAATTTTCTGAAACATCTCAAAAAAGATGAATGAGTGTCATCTTTTTTGAAACTTTTGAGAAAATCTTAAAAGTTCGCAACAATGTTCCTCAAAATGATTTTTTTGATTTCTTAAAAACAAGTTTTGATATCAAACAATTTAGTTCTACTGCAATTTTCACGTTTTATAAGCTACAATAGCCAAACGCTTGCAGGTAGATTTTAACTAAAGGCGCAAAAATGGGGTCATTGTGGATGGCTGAACAGTTTAAATGTAAGTCCTTTTTGCTATGAATAAGTCGTCTCAAGTAATTTGATTTACCTATTTTTTTTGCGGTTTACTATAAGAGTTAACCGTTATTTAAGAAAAAAAATCATTAATTGTTAACCCTCTTCTTGATTTTGTTGATTGGAGTAGCAGCCGGCTAACGTTATTTCTGTTTCAAATTTAATAGACCTAAAAAATAGTGACAACTGGTTGTGCACACCAGATTTTTATAATGCCCGCCGATGCTGTGTATGCTCTATTATACGGCTCCAATTTTTATCCAATTGACGGTGAAATTTATTTTACCCAGAGAAAAGGCTTTTAATCACCAATGCCATAACATGAGTACAAAACACAATTTTAAAATTCAATAATGGTTTATATATAAACCTTGACAAAACTAAGCAGAGAATCAATAACCGAAAAATTGCATTGCAAACATTGCACTCGAACGCTGGAATTTTGTCGTTCTAGCCGTCTGCTCAGCAGATTATGATTCCTTTGAAATTATTATAACTTAAGTTTTCAATTGTTTCTGTTAAACAATTTATTTAACTAGAAAAAACTCGAAAAAAAACTTGAAAAACTACCGATTTGATAACACATGTTGATTGCAAGGATGAAAAGACCATTGACGCAAGCATCATGACTGCAAGGTATTTCGGTGAGGTATGCTATTACGCCTTTTAAGCCAAAAATCAAGAAGCTTCAATTTGAAAAACACTGGTTCGAACGTTTAAGATTTTAATCTCAGTTTTAACTTTAAACAATTTAGTTCCACTGCAATCTTTACGTTCGTTTTATAAGCTACAATAGCCAAAATTTTGCAGGTACATTTTAACCAAAGGCGCAAAAATGGGGTCATTGTGAATTGGTGAGTAGCTCAAATGTGGGTACTTTTCGTTACGAATTATTCGTCTCAATTAATTTGGTTTAACTATTTTTTTTTGCGGTTTACTATAATAGTTCACGGTAATTCTGGAAAAAAACTGAATTTTTACCCTTATTTTGATTTTGTTGACTTGAAGCATTATGAGTAAAATATTATGCATAAAAAAGTTATTAAGCATAAGCAAGTTAGCATTAGTAAGTTATGCGTTGTGAATAAACAACTGACAAAATTAAGCAGAGAAACAAAATTCCGATAGTTTCTTGAGAGAAAAAAATTCGAAATGCAAACATTGCTTTCAAATGCTGGATTTTTTTTGTCCTAGCCACCTGCTCAGCGTATTATACCTTTGAAATGATCATAATTTAAGTTATCAACTAACTCTGTTAAACGACTTTTTAACTTGAAAAAACTCAAAAAAATACTTAAAAACTACCGATTTGATAACACTTGCTGATTGCAAGGGTAAAAAGACCATCGACGCGAGCATCAAATTGCTATTCAGTGGTGCAGCACGCAACAAAAATTTATCCTTTTTGGGTCAAAATCATCTCAAATGATTTCAACAATGGCTGGCTCCGAACTTTATCTTTCATTAGACTGCATTCGATAGCAAACTTTTTTTTGTAAACTACGAGCTGATTTTTTGATAAAACAGATTTATCGCGGAATCGACGCCATTGCTGCTTTTTTGACATTTTCGAATCTGCGATCATATAGGTAAAACACTGTATTACTCAAAAATGCTCTAAAAACCAATTTTGCGGAATCCGGAGTAATTTGTGGAATATACAAGCATTTTAACTTAATTGTTCATGAAAAATATGCTGTCGCGGAATCCACCACTGTTAGCAAAATCCGCCAATTGTAGGCGGAAAACACATTTTGTTTGCTGATTTCATTTTCATTTTCTTTTTCGTCTTGAAATTACATTTTGAAATAAATTTCGTTTTTTTTTGCGAATCAACAGCGAGATTCTTCCAACATTTCAATCTCGCAACCAAAAATAAATTTCTAGTACGAAATGAATACTGTAAGGACGAACACTTTCCAATCTTAAGTATTGAAACAATGAAAACAAATTGAAGTACGCTAATTCATGGACTAGAATTCCGAATTTTTGTTATCTTTTTGTAATAATTTGGTATTCATTATAAAATTTTTCAAATCAGTGCAATAGTATTTTAATTTTTAGCATTTATTTAGACTTCTAGAAAAAAAATTTTGAATCCAAGTTAACAGATAACAATTTTGAGATCAAACCCGAAACAGTTTGATTTTATAATCTTATTTGCTGATAAAACAACATATTCAGATCAGATTTCAGAGGATAATAGAAAAATTAGGGCAAAAAAAAGTAGTTTAATCTCATCTATTTGACCAGGATATAACCAAAACCGGCCAATCCTATTAGCTTATTCTGTTTTGAAATGATGTATTCCCAAATTGCGATCACCAAAACAGCTTGCTGGCAAACTTATTCTAAGTTAAAGGAGGACATCCAGGAATTTTAGTTATACAATGAAATCCACATTTGCTAGTTGTAATTTTGTCCATAGCTATCAATGGCGGCTATATTCGCTCGTAGAATCATTAAAATCGTAGAATCTTTGAAAAAAAATGGTGATCGGGATCTTCCGAGCTGCTTGCAAAGAACCCGGGTT